TTTTCAAATTTAGATTTTTTAGAGAGTTCTGTTCCCATTAACTAATTTTGGTCAGGCTGAATTCAATATCTTTAGTTTGGGACAAGTCTGTTTAAAGCCTTCTCATTTCATAGAAATGTGAGCCAAGAAAGGCATGAACGTAGTCATCTCCAGGAGTGGGTGGAGAAAAGAAAGAAAAGGAGTATCTTGAAAAACTAATGACCTAAATTCTGGAGGACAGTTTTAAAATTCACAGGGTGTTGTGCCAATCAAGATACTCAGGCACATAGAGGCAGGATACAAGGGTCACTTCAGATGGCATCTTAACTAGACTAGAGCTTTGTCTCTGTGTCTCCATCATTAAGAACCTGACTCATGACATGCCTCCATCTTTCACACTTGAGTAGGACCAGTTAAAATCATTTATGTATCATTTCAACATAACAATGTCAGTTGCTTTTTTTGAAGGTGACTGTAAAGGGGATGATTAATCAGAATAAGATGACAGGAGTGTAGATATCACACGCATCCAGTCTTACCACATGCTAAGGTTGTTTCTGTGTTGGGCCTCAGTTGGGTGAGTGATGGGGATGGGAAAGAGGGAGTTAATGGCTTCTAACAAGCTTGCCCAAGCTCAAGGGTTTTTCTAGCCTTAGTTCAGTAAAAAAAAATCATCCAGTTGTGTGTGTGTGTGTTATGTGTGTACGTGTGTGTTAGCATTGATCAAAGATAAGACTATGCAATGTCAACAATTTAGTGAAGAAAATCTTAATAGATAAATTTAAAATGAGATAGTCAAACTTTTCAAATCTCATTAAACATTATAGGTTTAACTGGAATTCAGGGAGCACCAGGTAATTGACAAATATCTCAGGCATCCTTTATCTAGAGAATGAACATTCATAATGAAGCTGGATGGAACCCCCCACCCCTCCAATGAGGTTTAAAGCTCCAACTCCATCTCAAAATAAAAGTATATGTAGAGGGGAAAGAGCTAAAACACCAAGCATTTGAAGGAATTTAATTCTTTTTAATGTGGAACAGCTGCAGAGATGTATGGCTGTTTTCTGTAGGACTTTGGAATATTTATGGGCCTCTCTCTTTTTCTTTTTCACTGGAAGAAAGGAGATCATCATTCTTGAGAGTGTTATTTATAATTTCATAAAGCTGTTCTGTGGCAGGACTTATTTTATCTCACGCTTGATCTCGGTCAAATAACTGTGCTTCCAAGGAGCTGGGTGGAGAAAAATGCTTAGCCCCCAAAATGATTAGCCTATTACCTACCAGTATAAGATGAAGGGCCAAAGGCTGGAATTTGAAGTCACAAAAGGCAATTTGGCAGTAAAGAAGAGACATGGTGAAACTGTCTCGACAGTTATATTCACAGCAGTAGACGCTTCTCTCAGTGCCAAATAATGAATAATAATGAACACTGTGGAACCATCCCTGTGCCGAGATGGGGCAGAGGTTTTCAGAGTAAATAATTAGAAGCAGGTGATTATGAAAACAATAACTCATTGGAGGAAAATGAGAAATCAGGTTTGCGAAACTGAGAGAATCGAAAGGTAAATATACCCGTAAATTTACTTAGGTGGAGAGTGTTTGGATATTTCTTCTGTCCCAGTTTTCTTCTAAGGTAATTTCAATAAACACTGGTAGGAAAAAAAAGGAATATAAATGCAATAAAATTTTTTTTCAGGAAAGGCATGAAGAGGCCTCCTGCCAGAGAGATATTTTATTGAAAGATGTTATAATGCCTATCTTTAGTTTTATGAGTCCTAATACAGAACCAAGTAATTTCAACATGTGGATTAAAAATATGAAATACATATTTTAAAACAGAGTACTATGAATTATTATTGTTAATATGTATGGGCAGAAGAATATGTTCCCCCTCTTGAGAAAGCAAGGTAAAATGTTTAATCTGTGCTGTGGATAAATGTTGCATACCAGGCACTATGTTCAGAAAACACGTGTATTGGCCTGCAAAGGAATGTGGCAGATAACACCAATGAGATGTGGAGAGGGGAGGAGGGACATCTGATAGGGCAGGATATTAAATTCATGCTCATTATCTATGTGTTCAAGAACAACATGATGACTGGAGTGGCTGTCATACTGTCCTTCTAGTCCAGCTCCTCTTTCCAGCCATCCTGTTCTCCTTGTAGGTGGACAAATAAACTGTGCTTCTTCATGCCTCTGAGTCTTTGCACGTACTGTTTATTTCACATGAAATGCCCCTCTCCCCCTCCCACCCACAGCCCAGGCGTCCCCTGCTTCACCAGTGCCTGTCCTTGAGGGCTCATGTCCCATGTCCCCCTGCCTAGGAGATCGCTCTCTGCTCTTTGCCTTCTTAGCACCTTACACTTGCTCTTGTCTGGCCATTCAGTTTACTATGCTGCTTCCTTGTCTGTCTCATCAGAGACTGTGAATTCCCAAAGCACAGGAATTATGTCTTACCTATCACTTTATCCCTTGTAAACGTTACAGTGATTGACACATAGGTGTTCAATAAATATTTATTAAAGTAATAAACGAATGAACAAAATGAATGAACAAAGCACCTTGAGGATACAGTCCTATGCCACTGATGGTGGGTCTAGCAGCCCAGCTACTGTCTGAACTATTTGCTTTGTGGGTGGGCCACAGATCTGTTATTATTTCTTGAATAACTTACAGGTAATATTGGTATTTGACATATGGAAACCATAATATGTAAACACTTTAAGCTTAGCCGTCGGAAATGATGAGAGCTTCAGACAATCATAGTGAGGAAATAAATGTGGAGAAGATGACACGGGAGGTACTTGATGAACATTCCCAACATAACTGCACAAATAGAAGAGTTTCCCAAAGCAGTTCTATTACCTGAAATAGCACGGGCGGTGGGCAGTTAATTGTAGTTAGCAGGTACCACTACACATGTCTATACTCTTGGTTATTGTGACTGCCAAAAGAGTTAATATGCATCAACCGTTTATCACAAAGCCTGAACATAGCAAGTGCTTAATAAGTGTACTAGTAGTCAGGATTCCAGATAGTTCTGATAGTCATTTTTCTTCCCCACAGGAGTACTAACTGCTTTTATTTCTAAAAAATTAAAAGTAATTATGGAAATGGTTGTGATTATGGGAAAATACACACACATGCACACACACATAGACTAATGTTATTGCATTTTATTTAAAGACAAAAGTCCATAGTTCTGTTCTACTCATAACAATTCTGGTCTGAGTCTGTGTATATCTACAATAGTGAAACATGCACCACCAGCCATGAGAACCACTCGTCAAAGAAGTGTGCCCTCTCTTTCATGGTTCAGCATCAGACCTTCCATTTGCTTATATCTGGGGAAGAATACAGACAAGAAAAAAAAAGCTGCTGAGAGAAAGCCCTGTGTTTTCTG